CTCTTCTGGTAGTGCAGTCTGCACTCCCTGAACACCCTAGTGATGCCACTGCCACTAACTAGTATTCATAGACACAGTATTTCTGGTTCTGGAGGCAATATCCAAGATCTTGCATTGAGCAAGCAAAGCATAATATAGTATAATAATTGTCATGCACAATTCTGTGTCCTCCCTCCAGCCCTGGTAGCTGCCAAATGCTAGGAGAGGCCCCTGCTGCTCTGCTTAGCATTTAGCAACAGCATTTGCATTTCTGTACCACTTATCAGTGAACTCTGCACTCTCTAAGCATCTATAAGCCAATTGCCCCTAACAAGCTGGGGTACTCATTTTACCAACCTATGAAAGGATGGAAGACTGGGTCAACCTTGGATTCCTGGGATCGAATTCACAACCTTGTGGTAGCAATACTGGCATTTAACCACTGTGCCACCAGGGCTCCTTGAAGGAGGGGAGGGGTGTGAATGTGTGTATCTAAATACACACATACACACACACACACACACACACACTCATCTTCAAATTGCCTGTCGACTTATGGTGACCCCCATTAATTTCATAGGATTTTCTCAGCCAAGGATTATTCAGAGGTGGTTTTGCCAGTTCCATCCTCTGAAATATAACCTACTACAGAAAACAAACATAATAACCACAGAGGAATTACATAAATTCAACTTAGATAATGAGGAAATAGAAATAGTTAAAGATTTCCCATTTGGATCAAGCATTGAGCAGAATGGAGACTGCAATCAAGAAATCAGAAGAAGATTAGGAATGGGAAGGGAAGCTATGTAAAGGACTAGACAAAATCCTAGAGTGTAAGGATATACAGCTGAACACTAAAGTTAGAATCATCCAAGCTGTTGTATTCCCCATCACTATATACAGATTTGAGAGCTGGACTGTAAAGAAAGCAGATAGGAATAAAATCAATTTTATTTGAGATATGGTGCTGGAGAACACTGGTGAGGATACCCTGCATGGCCAAAGAGACAAACAAATGGGTCCTTGAACAGATCAAGCCACATCATGAGAAGGCACGACTCACGATGCTGGGGAAGGTAGAGGGCGGTAGAAAAAGAGGAAGACCACATGATGGATAGATTCGATCAGGGAGACCGTGGGTCTGATCCTACAGGATCTGAGCAGGGAGGTAGAGGATAGCAGAGTTTGGAGGCGTCTCATTCACAAGGTTGCCATGAGTCGAGATTGACTTGAAGGCAGCTAATAACAATAACAAACATTCATTGGTGGTCTCCCATCCAAGCACTAACTAGGGCTGACCTTCATTGGCTTCCAAGATTAGACAGGATCTGGTGCCTTTTAGGGCAATGATGTCCAAACTCTGGCCTTCCAGGTGTTTTGGACTTCAGCTCCTAAAATCTCAGACCATTGGCCAAGATGGCTGAGGCTTCTGGGAGTTGAAGTCCAAAACACCTGGAGGACCAGAGTTAGACTTGGGGAGGAGGAAGCAAGTAATAGGAAGCAGTAGCAGCTTGGAAGAAACAAGGGTGCTTTCATAGATGGAAAACACCCTCCTTTTCCTTCCCCTGGGAGCCTATAGCAGCCTGTTTTCACTGCCTGAATTCTTTCTCTCCTTCCCACCAGGATTCAATAGAGAATAGTGCCTGCATACCAGTAACAGGATGCTGCCCATTATATGACCAGTAGCCATGTATAGCCTAGTCCTCTATAAAAGCAAGTTGATTTTTTTTCCTTATCAGTCACTTTAGTACTGAATTACCTTTTGCAGTAACAGGCTGAAATTAAGTCATTTCCACCCCAGAACAACCACAGTTGTAATTCATTACTATTCAGTTGGACTGGAATGAGCGGTTTGCCTGTTACTCATTACTGTGTGTACCAACTCAGTCTGAGCAATGGGAAGATTAGGAGGACAGGTCAGATGGGTGACTGCCTTGTGTAACCATCAGAAGAGATTATTTTGTAATGTCTTCTGCATTTTCTTCAGAATTAGGGGGAATAGAATGTATTTCTCTCTTATTTTCCAAAGCAACAAATAGTAACTATGAAGTAGCTCAGCAAATTTCCTTTCTAGACCACAGTAACAGTAACCCTTGGGTGATCATAGTAATTAAAAAATCAATACTGTAGTTCCATTACAAAAGTAATTTTCAAACTCTTTATGAAAAGATTGGGAAACGATGGTTCTCCAAAGTTATCTGGAGAGTGTGGGTTTTTCCCTGATCAGCTTTTCGAGTAGCTAGCTACATATACTGCAAACTGCAGAGGTTAAAGTCTGCCTGTCACTCTGCTGCGCTGCTCTCTGTGAAGACAGCCACTATGGCTGCAAGCCAATTCCTTCCTCTTTTTCATGTACCTTTTGACATGATCCCTGCTCTGTATTGCAGTTGAGCTGCAATATAGCATGGGCAACAACACGTGGGATCCTGGGATTTGCAGTTCACGGAAGTACGGTTAGAATTCTTAGCAAGAAAGCTCTAGACTTAAACAAACTACAAACCCCAATATTCCATAGGATGTTGCCATGGCTGATAACATGGAACAGACTGCTCTAATTTGTGTACTTTGAAAAGGTCCTTGGATGACAATCAAAAAAGGTCAGATTGAAAGACATCTACTGTGATGTCCCAATGTTGTCATAGATAACAATGACATTCTTTTATCACTATAGATATAGTATCAGAAAGCCAGCATGGCGCAGTGGTTTGAGTATTGGACTGTGACTCTGGAGGCCAAGGTTCAATTCCCACCTCTGCCATGAAACCCACTGACTGACCAACGGCAAGTCACATGCTCTCAGCCTCAGGGAAAGGCAATAGCAAACCTCTTCCGAACAAATCTTGCCAAGAAAGCCCAGTGATAGGTTCACCTTAGGGTTGCCATAAGTTGGAAACGAAGGCACAGAACAACAAATATAGTATCAACAGTATGTTCGTAAATATATCAGTGTCAGCATTTCAGTGAAAATGAAGCTGTA